TATTCTGGATATTAATCCCTTGTCAGATGCATAGTTAGCAAAAATTTTCTCCCACTCTGTATGTTATTGTTTTGCTCTGTTGACTATTTCCTTCGCTGTGCAGAAACTTTTTAGTTTGATATAATCTAGTCCTATTTGTTTATTTTTTCTTTTGCTGCTTGTGCTTTTGGGCTCATGTTCATTAGGCCTGTACCCAGACCTAATTGCTGAAGTGTTTCACCTATTTTTTCCCTTAGTAATTTTACAGTTTCAGGTCTTATTCTTAAGTCTTTCATCTGAGTTGATTTTACTATATGCATCTCTCATCATACACTAAAATCAAAAGCTCTTAAAAAAGAGAGAATAGTTATGTGCAGAGAATGACTCCTACAGCATCCTGCCAAAACCTTGAAACATCTTCCCCATCTGCCACTGATACTTCAAGCACAACAGTATCTGCTTGATCACATGGACTCACTAGCAGAGCAGCTTTAGCAGCAGCCTGGACCTATTGCATAGCTCTTCTCTTGTTCTGGGTCCCGCTCAAAATTAGTAACCTTTCAGGACACTTGGTGAGTAGACCATACTGGCATATTTGAATGAGGAATATGTTTTCCCAAAATCCAAGGAGGCTCACTGTGCTGTGCCTCTGTTTTGGTTGTAGGTGGGCCAGAAACAACAACTTATCCTTCACTTTAGAAGAAATATTTAGACATGCCTCACATTACTGGATCCCTAAAATTTTCATTCAAAAGGCCCTGAGTTTTGTCATATTTATTTCTTATCCTGTGCAAAAGTCTCACTGGTCTTTTGCACAATTAAAGTAGTTGAGTCAAATGCAGACATGGTGGAAATCACCATACATACATTCTGAAAATTTTTGGCGATGGTGCTAATGTCTGTAGTCCCTCCAGAAATGAGATATTGCTATTTCTTTTCTTAAGTGGAGGAATGTCTAGTGGCTTTTGGCCTTTTCTGCTATAATAGTTCTGTCTTCACAGATCAAAACATCAAAAATTTGGTTATCCTGGCGTTATTTTTAGTTCAGAACCATGTTCTAATAATTTCCAAGATGTTTGATTATTTACTTTATCCCAATGCACAGTGACTCTGGTGAAAGGCAATAGGTCCCTTTTGGGTAGGCTGAGAGAAAGATTAATAGTATAAATTTTTGGCAGTGTAGCAGGGTTCTTTCTTGAGAGATTCAGCCTTCTCTGCCTTCAAGAGGTTCTGGGTTTGTAAACTGCCTCAAGTCTAGAAATTCACTGAGAATCCATAGTGGTCTGTTTTTATGAATCAAGTTAGACTTTTGTTCAAATGACTTAGGGCACATCTGCTTTTGTAGATTAAATACAAATTTAGTAGACATCTCATCTATTTCACTTACAGGAACACTAAGACCAACTATCCAACACCACAGGTGTGCACAAGTCAAACTATTGTGACTGCCCTCTTTAACTCTGCTATAGATTATAATAACCGTGGTTACCTTGCCTGTGTCATTTATGTCCCACAATTTAGCCCCTAACCCCTTGCTCCAATTACCCCCATTGCATCTAGTTTTCCTAATTCAGTGTCAGCAGTTCCCACTGTAATTTCCAACATACAGAGATCTTGCAGTGATCACAGAGCCCTTCAAGGATGCTGGGGTTCCCTTTATAGTTGTGACAAAGGTGTGTGTTCTCAATAGTCCCAAGGTGGGTAATGAGTTCTTAATAACAAATCTATCCTAACATTCCAATCTTCACAAGATTTTGAATCCTTTCCCCTACTGTATACCAAGACTGGACTGGTATTTCATTTTCATTTAGAGTAAGACATATTTTGGTCCATGTTTCAACCATCCAATGAAACTGTATGAGCCCTCACTAATCCTATGGTCTGCAACCACTCATCTCCATTTAGCAGTGCTACCATTATATCACAGTCTTAATATCTCCTCCCACACATATTTCCTGGATTTCTGTTTATACAAATTAGAAAAATCATGTGGTTATTTTGGAGTGTAGTGTAACTCCTCACGGGTCACACTTTATATCTCACCTTTAGGGTCCCCCTGAGAATTGAGTCTAGATATAGGCTCAGTAGCAAATAGGGGTAGTGGGGTGGGCTCTGGGGAGAATCTACAATCTTACAAGGAAAGTGTCTCAGAAGAGATCATTACAGACCTTGCCTTTTGATTAATAGCCTCTAGTGGTGACATTGTGTTTATATCTATTGACCCATCATGCCATGGATTATTACTTCTCTCTTTAAATAAAAAAAAACAAAGCAAAACACACTTTATGAAGGTATAATTGATGTGTAAAAGTTGAACATATTTAATGTATACAACTTGGCTAGGTTGGAGTTAAATATACATCCATAAAACCAATACTAAGTTAAGTTTTGTCAAAAGGGGTCATATTAATAATACCAGAATAATAGCATGATTACATTATGCCCCACAGCAGTTATCTTGACTGCAGCATCACTAATAGAACTATGATTTTCATCAGTATGTTCAATGCAATTAAGATGATATCTATAGCTATATAGCTGTATGTATTTTCTATTTAAATATCACTGCCTATATATAACACTTTAAAATGGTCTGAAAGAATAAAGAGCAAAATAGATAAAGTCTCCTCATGCCTTTTGAAACTTATATTTTGGTGCTGGGCTGGGTGGAATGACACTCAATGATTGTGTTATGTGGCAACAAAGATGATGGAGAAAAATCTGCCAGCTCTCAGAATGCAGTTTTTGTAAATTCAGGTAAGTATCATTTTATTTGAAAACATGAGTTTCTTAATTAAGACAAACTTTCTCATACCTGAGAAACTGAAGTTTTCAATGTGGCTCATTATGCCAACAGGAGTTTTGGTTACTGCCTCATAATTATAAGTCAGTAAAAAATAATTTATAAGCCAGTATTAGCTTATTATTCTGTGGGTAACAAACAATACCAAAATACCTATTCTTTAAATAACACACATGGATTTCTCAGTCACGCTTCATGTGTCATATCAGTTAATGTGTGAAGACTGCTGTGCTCCACAATGTCAGTCATGGAACCATGTTACGGAGGTCTGTCATTTTGTTAACCATTCAGAACATGCAGTAAGAACAAAAATAAGAAAGACAAAAGGGCACTAAAGTTTGTGCAAGAAGTATAAAGTGTTTCAGTACTACTTTTTAATTGATGGCATAAAAATGACCACACTTTTCTCTAAGGAAGTGGGAAAATGTAGAAAAATTATGGAGGCATGAGTGTGACTCAGTGAAAGGTTATACTTGGACAGCACCACCTATTAACTTCCATGTTCTCTCCTGCCTTCTTAGGTACTGAATAAGATGAGGCCTTCCTTATCCGGCCTCCCTGGATAAAGAGCAGAAACTGGTTATAAACCAAACTTCTACGATTTAGTGATGTTGTGGAAAAATTTTCTCAATGGGCTCTGCATTAGTCTGTTTCTGTTGCTTATAACAGAATACCTGAAACTGGGTAATTTGTAATAAAATGAAATTTGTTTCTTACAGTTTGGAGGCTGGGAAGATCAAAGTCCAGGGGACACATCTGATGAGGGTTTTGTTTGTTGATGACTCT